CTGAACACGGAGTGCCCAATCTCGACGGACCATTGACGCAATTCACAGGATCTTTTGGGACTGTGTGGATTGTAACTGCGGACACGTCACCTCCCCACTGGTGGAATTGCTGATGATCAAGCTCAAAGCAAGCAAGCATAAGCTTATATAAAAAAAGGATCTGTTGGGTTTTTATTAAATGAAAATAAAATTATAAAACCTTTTATTCAAGTAGGCTTTCACAGACGCTTATAAATCCTCTTGCATCTACCACCGATTCAGAAAAGATTTCACTACTTACATGAATCGGCAAATAATTCAGGCTTTCTCTGTTTCTAATCCCTAAATTCCATATGAACACTATCATATATTGTTGACTTTAAATTTGATATTTTGGGATAGGCAATGGACGAAGCTTCGATGTCGTGTACAATAGCTCAATACTCTATACAACTAAACTATAATAATAAAAAAGAAAGATAGCTACATTTCATTAATAACGGAGAAAACTTCCTCCTTCTGTAAGATCAGATTAAACTTAGACCAGTAAAGTACTTGCAAACTTAAATGCGAAGTTTCAGAATAAAACTTTATCTGCGAGAAATAAAATCAATCCTTTACTATTTATGACTCGATGGTTTTTTATTGCCCAGATTATTGAAATACACAGTAGGCAGTGGCTTGGCTCTGCCCTTGGCATGCTGAAGTCCATGGGCGACGGTAACCATTCACAATGAGGTGGGCCGTATGCTAAAAAAAAATAGCCCACTGATCACCTGGTGTTAAGTGTTATTACACACACACACGTTAATTTATAACCTCACGAGAATTCCAGTCATCTCGAGATATGAAGATCGAAGTCTCAATAGCTATCCAACAGGAACGGCCATCCCACGTTTAAAATCGGAACTCAGCTGTTTTTTTATGGTTGAAGGTTTATTGGTGGCCTTTCCAGTTTCACCAGGACAGTGGGCGAACAAAGGCTCAGCCAGGAAGGGTGGGATTTGCTAACAGCTGCCCGAGCGCTTCGCGATTGTGCCGCGACCTTGTCAGCCTTTAGCCAATCACATTAATGTTTAATTAAAGGCTGTTTATAAATACATACATAATCTACTGACGTAGGACGTCTTGTAAGTCCGCACGGGTAGGTAACATCACCCTGCCTATTTCTGTCGTGAAGCAGTAATGCGTTTTGATTTGAAGAGCGGGCAGCCGTTGTACTGTAAAAACTGAGACATTAGAACTCGTGCCTATGGACTCCGGTAACCACTAGACACCAGGTGGGCTCGTCCCTTATAAACATTAAAAAAAAACATAGCTTTCCAAATTTTTCCAGAAACAATCTCACTGTGTAGCAAAACGCTATTTTTTATGGTGAAAATTTCGGGGTTTATCTACACATAATCATACACTTACCTGAAATATTTGATGAACATTTCCAAGATTGTTCCGGCTAGCCGTTGAAAAGCCTCCGTGGAAACGCTGACTCGACCGACATAAAAAGCTGAAGCCGGGGCCGTTTTAGCTGTAGTATTTTTTTTCATTAGGGCAGTACTAGGTCAGCTGTTCTGTGGGCGAGGGCAAATTTTCAGTGAATGAGATATTATATTGATTCTATAAAAACCAAATAAATTTAAATAAAATAATATTAAATATTATTAAACTAATAACAAGAGCTAATCAACTACCCTACCAACCCAACTAACCTACTTACTAATGTTTTTTGGCTCTTTCAATCTTATTGGGGGCTTACGTAGAATAAGTGATGGGGGTTGATTGCTTCCCGCTTCCGTAGGTTTAACCCGCGATTCCCTACAAGTGACCCCTGGGTGATGCAAAACGGGAGCCGAATACATAATCGGTGGTAGGACTTGTCCGACTGGCTGGCGACTACCCTCCAACTAGAGTCCGCCGCCAAATAGCCTAGCTGTGTTCCGGCATGTGGGTTGGAGAGCCAGTGTTATTCCTTCCTTTTCCTCTTCCTTGTTTGGGGTGAATCTTGGCGATACCTGGAACATGCGGAGCAGACGTGCGTGTGAGCTCGCGGGACGTGATTGTTTGACGGGGGTATAGGGAGACCCAGTGAAACGGTGTTCGCCGCCGCCCGCCGGTCAGTTGGGGACCTGAACCCGGGTGTCACTACTAAACTCCGCCCCGGGAAGCTGTCCCGCNGAAGTCCATGGGCGACGGTAACCACTCACCATCAGGTGGGCCGTATGCTCGTCTGCCTACAAGGGCAAAAAAAAAAAAAAAAAAAAAAAGTGAAGTAAACATGGATATTCCATTATTAGGCCGGTTTTATTATTAACAGTGAAATATTTTGAGTAAAAACAAAAAAAAAGGTATAAAATTATAGCTTATCACCTCATTTGATTTCTCTGTTAAAATAAAACATAATTAATAATCGATTTCTCCGTTTATTTATATAAAACGTATACCATAATAATATATTACATTATTATATATTAGCCCGCTCCCCTTATTCCGACTCTGTCGAACCTTCATAAAATTGAGCTACAAAGCTCCGGTATTACGTTATGAGTCGTTTGGTTTTAGATTCGGCACACGTGGCCCGAATTTAAATTTGTACCCATGGAATAAACCAAACTCAGCGGTTTGATCTTCCCAGAAGTGAGTTAGGTAGCTTGAACTAGCTATTTCTATTCCAGTCTCTCCAGATTCCTTAGCAAGTAAAGACTGTGACGATGTACGCCGATGCCTTTCCGGAAATATAATTTACAAGTGTCCGCGGCTTAATAAGCAAGACGCCCAGTGTAGTCAAAAATACTCAAATTAAATTACCATAATTGGAATAAAGAAACATATTGTGATTTTTTAATATTAATTATCTTTGCAACATTTATTTTTTATTATTTACCAGTTACATTATTTGTATTTTAAAGTGAGATAAAATTGTGTATTAATTTTGTTATAGTAGTCAAAATATAGGTAAAAATAAAACTAAAACTAAACTACCCTCTTTTGACAGTATTTATAAGAAAAAAAACTGGTGATACCAAATGATTCCGCATATTAACTCAATTTCGAATATTTTTGAAAATTGTACACTTTTAATGCGAAAAGACGACGATTTCTATTCTAAAATTTGAGGCGTTAATCATGATAGTCAAACTTCGAGCACTGTGCCAGAACTATCACTAATACAAAGAATGTTTGAAACTGGAGATCGAGCTAATTTTATTTATTCATATGTATTCCAGTGAGAAAGTCGAGACAACCGATATTACAATTTGTTGTCGTAAGGTTGGCGGTCTACTCGGTTGATAGTTTTATTACGAGCAAGTGTTTCGGATAAACTAATGATTTTGATTTTATTTATTTACCTACTCTACCAGTCAACCAAAAGTAGTGCAGAGAAATAATTTAATTGGCAGGAGTAGGTCAATCAAAATCTCAGACAATAAAAATCACGAAAATGACGAAAATGACGAATGACTCCACGAAGTTTAAAATTTATAGGCCAATTATTTATACCTTTCATTCCATTGTTTATACCAATGGAGATTGGGAAAAAATTTGTTAGTTAACAATTGAATAACTTTTTGAAAAATGATGATTAAACTTTTTTTTCTTCAGGGCTCGATTCTTTCAAGTGTTAAGAAGATAGTAGAATTTTTTCAAATTTTTAAAATCACATTTTATATTATAAAAAAAATATTTTTATTGCTGAACTCTCTTTAGCGGCGGCGCGCGCATGCTGTAACAGCCCTATTTTCAACGTCTAATTAAAATTATAAATAATCGAGATAGAGTTCCGGGAGTTGGGACTTTTTTATTGGAAATTTCCTCCTCTTTAACGAGCTTTTTTCAAAATTGCTTCAATGTTAATATTTTTCAAGTTATTAAAAAAAAACGAAATATCATTTTTTTTCATCCTATTTTGTTAATAACAATTGCAATTTTTAACCTGCACCAAAATCCTTCAAAAATCATTTTTCTAGAGGTGATTCCGAATCCAATGAGCCATCGCTCATATTTTAGGACGTTTATCTCTATTTTTTACGTTTTTGAACTTGTTGACTAGACTAAATGATAATTTTAAGCAATCAGTAAAATAAAATTTAAAATGTATTTAGCGAAGTGGCTGGTTCCATGTTGTTTCTAAAATGATGACGTCAGCGTCGTTGACGCCAACCTTTTCAACATTATCATTGCCTTCTATAGTGACAGTAATAAAATTAAAAATTACTTTTTCAAACAATTCCTTTTATTGTATTCCAAGACAATAACCACCGTTCGGCTGCCTGATTCGAAATGTATTGTGCGACAAAAGTTCATTAATTTTCCTGAATACCGTCTTAACACATTGACTGCCGTGTAGGTCACTGGTGCCCTACGCGACGCCCTGAAGTAATTATGTCTTATAATAATTGTTACTAATTAGTTAATAGTATTTAGTAACTAATTAGTAACAATTTGACGTCGTCGTGGCCTAAAGTTTAAGACGTCCAGTGCATTCGTATTGAGCGATGCAACGGTATTCGAATCCCGCAGGCGGGTACCAATTTTTGTAATGAAATACGTACTCAACAAATGTTCACGATTGACTTCCACGGTGAAGGAATAACATCGTGTACTAAAAATCAAACCCGCAATATTATAATTTGCGTAATTACTGGTAGTAGGACCTAATGTGAGTCCGCACGGGTAGGTGCCACCACCCGCCCATTTCTGCCGTGAAGCAGAAATGCGTTTCAGTCTGTATCTCAAGGTGGAGGGCGAATTTACGTTGTAGATGTCTATGGGCTCCAGTAACCACTTAACACCAGGTGGGCTGTGAGGTCTTCCACCCGTCCCAGTAATAAATAAATAAATGTGCATTTCCCAAAACAATTTGGTACTACTCGTATAGTTTTCCGATGGACATTTACTCGTTGTATTTAACGCGTTAGTTCATACAAATATTTTTAAGCGAGACATTTGGTACAACATCAAACCTTCGCTGGAATCTCATTTACGATTTACGTATCACCGAGATTCATAAAACATGATGCGAGAATATGTCAAAGCCTTTCCATCTGCAAATACATTCAGCTGTATACGCGAAGGTGAGAATGAAATATGCTAACAAATAAATACAAGTATTGGAGAGGACTTGCGAAGACGACGCGAGAATATCCAACGAGAATTTAAGGTTTACATATTTACATACAGTTAAGTTGGATTCTGTTAGCGTTTTAGATACCATTTTTCACAATCTATACTAATATTATAAAGAGGAAAGATTTGTTTGTTTGTTTGTATTCAATAGGCTCCGAAACTACTGAACCGATTTGAAAAATTCTTTCACTGTTTGGAAGCTACACTATCCCCGAGTGACATAGGCTATATTCTTTTTTTATTATTTTTCTTTATTTTTTATTATTATTATTTTTTTAAAATAGGGATCCTTGCTAAAACTCCAATAATGTAACCCAAGATTGTTCAAAACTATCTTTATAATTTTCTTTTTTAGTAAGCTGATGCAAATAGAAGGGTTGATGTGTGTGTATTTATGATTGTTAATTTGGATTTTTTTATTAAAGACCCGAGCGAAGCTGGACCGGGCCGCTAGTTTATTAATAAAACCCGGACACTCTAAGAGTATTTTGACTATGTATTTTTTTTATGAGGCCTTTCTGGTTTCACAACGATAGGGAGCGAACAAGGACTCAGCCAGAAGGGGCGGGATTTGCTAACAGCTACCCGAGCACCGTACCAAGGGAGACCTAACAACTCAAGAGTAGCTGCTTCGCGAATGAATCCACTACCGGATCGGAATCGCAACCCGCTGAGAAGAACAGGCGAGAAACTCAACGGGTTGACGTTTAGGTTAGTATGTATTTGAAATGTAATAAATAAATTTACAAATATAATATAATTTACTTTACGCTTTGTACTTCGGTGGTACAATCCGTCCTCTCTTCTTAGCCTTATCCTACATATGTGGGATCGGCACAGCATATCCTCTTATCATCATCATTATTGGTAGGATTTTATGACTAACCCTCTGCCTGAAGTCAACCCTCCCTGGGTAATATCTCATTATAGGCAGCGGCTTGGCTCTGCCCCTGGCATTGCTGAAGTCCATGGGCGACGGTAACCACTCACCATCAGGTGGGCCGTATGCTCGTCTGCCTACAAGGACAATAAAAAATAAAATAAAAAATGTCTATTGCAAAGTGCCATAGAGAGCAATTTTTTCTTTCTTTTGGTTCATCCGTTTTTGTCTCTATGATTTGCATTTTATTATAATTAACATTTATATTAAATTTTAGATTTTCAAATACTAAAAAGATAAAAATTAGACTCCTTTTTCTTTATTTTCATTTGTCATTTTGACATTATCATGATACAAACCGTCAATAAAATACTAATAAGAACTAAACCATCAAACCCATTTAACACGACAAGCACAATTAAACAATGTAATAAAAGCGCTTCGCGATTTCGCTTCTCGTACAGATTGAATAATAGTAATAATGGAGATTTTAAATAAAATTTAAATCCAAGACCGAGGTTTTTCTCGTGCGTGCTCCAAATATTTTTCACGATGACACTGCCTGCGATAGGGAATCCAGCCTACAAGGGCCTGTCATTTATAATCTTAAAATACGTTCATTTGATCAAAATTTGGTTGAAAAGTTTCGGACTCACTAGTTATAGAAATTATTATGGGTTTTATTTTGACTTTTTCAAACTGCTACTCAATGATCACAGTTTACGCCGTAACCTAAGTTTTCAAACATGTATTCCGAACGCTCATGTTACATTTTTATTTCGTTAAACTTATCTCATAGTTGATTCCCTCGGGTGTATACTATAAATGACTCCGCTGCAGGATAAAGATTGTTTAGACGTCAACAGCATTGCCCATAGGAGAATGTCGTTGATAATAGCACTACGAAGATAACTGCAATAGGCCTGCAATATCTAGAATAAAATAAAAATGAATTGCTGTTCGTTAGTCTCGCTAAAACTCGAGAACGGCTGGACCGATTTGGCTAATTTTGGTCTTGAATTGTTTGTGGAAGTCCAGAGAAGGTTCAAAATGGTTCATTCGGAATGAAATAAAAATAACAATTTTGTTTTTACTTTGATGTGTCCCCCGTCGGACGGATTCCTTTTGTTTGCTTTATGTTTATTTTATACAAAAGTTTAGGTCTTTTATTTATAGATTGAGGCACTACGAAGTTTGCCGGGTCAGCTAGTCTAGAATAAAATACGTTCCTTTTTTATACTATTTTCACTGTCTTTTAAGCTAAACAAATTCAGTGCGTACTTACATGACTTGTGCAATTTTTTATTTTTTTCTACGTATACTTTAGATATGTGTATGTTTACAAATATACCTAATACTATTTATAAGTACATTTTTGTAAAAAAAATTTATTTGTAATTTACGACTTTTACGTTGGTTTTTTTGTGTCTTGCGTTTCTCAATGTGGTTACACATAGATGTCTATGGGCTCCGGTAACCACTTAACACCAGGTGGGCTGTGAGCTCGTCCATTCATCTAAGCAATAAAAAAAACCTGAAGTGCCTAGTACTAAAATAGCAGATGTATAGAAATTCGTATAGTTTTCTTTTTTGATTATCTTTTATTATTAGAATAGAATCACCATCCGCGTCACAAAAGCCCCTCTTTCTGTGATTATAATATCAATTATCAAAAATCTAGTCACAAATTCCGTGTCACGTAATGATTTGACCGGATAACCTCGTCAATCGAAAAAAAAAAAACAATGTTAACTATATCCAAAAACATTGAATTTTAGAATTTTTCGCCGTGTTTGTTCTCTTCAAATAAGCAATAACTCATAATACACCTGTCATATTTTGATAACATAAAAGGCGATTAATCTGGTGAACAAAAGTAATTTTCCGGCAGCGAATTTTATCTGAACCCATTTATTATCTAAATCCCGCATTAATGCTATCCGGTATGTTACTCATTTACGAGCTTTGGCAGCAACAGAAAAATAAGCTTCCCTTCGCTTTTTGTTAAAAAAAACTAGAAGATTTGTTAGGAGCTTATCAAAACCGTTTTATGCCTGTAAACATAGGAAGTTCTGGCTCTACCGGATTTGAGATGATTACCGGAATCCATAGATAAGGTAAAAGCTGCCACTGTACCTTGAGACATGAGGTCAATTTCATATTTTTGCTGTGTAACTGCTTTACACTTCAAACCTCAATGTATGGCTGCATCGCGCCAGTATTATTCAATGTAAAAGCTGATCGTAAGCGTGTGTAAGGTACGGCTTTAGTTAAGAAAACTGGTTCCCTCTGTGCTGTTTGCTCCGGTATGGTCACAACACGATCATACCTTGTTACATTCAAATTTATTTGTCAGAGAGGTCCACAATATCTTATCCTTGTAGACAGACATACGGCCCACCTAATAGTGAGTGATTACCGTCGCCCATGGTCTTCAGCAATGCCAGGGGCAGAGTCAAGCCGCTTTCTACTGTTACCGCGTGGTGACACATTGCAAAAATCCGGCCGAGAAATGATATGAATGAAATGGTGTTTTAAGTTTTACAATTGATCACAACACAGCTCCTAAGTTAGCTACGAACAATGAAATGATAGTAAAACGGACCAGTCTGCTTGCCACCCTTACTTTATTCTACTCCATTTTTATTCTGTAAACTAGCGACCCGCCCTCGCTTCACTTCGGAAACATTAAAACACACACGAAACCAAAAAAAAAAAAAAAAAAAGTAAGTAGCCTCTCACTACAAGCACCCCAGTCCCGCCCGCTGCCTCCGCCCCCGTCAGATATGGATGAGGGGTGGAACGTGGTGGCCCGGCGGGGTACCAAAAAGGCCCCACCGGCAGCTCCTCAAACGAGTAGAGCGCCGGTGGCCATGGTGGCTCAGGGTGCACCCCAACAGGGTCGAGCGCCTGTAGCCGCCAAGAAAAACAAGAAGAAAAAGANTAGGATAACCCATTCTAACCGGCGCCATCTAGGCGGGCTCCGGATAGCCTGCCGACCGAGAGGGCTGGTGGTCGTGGCGCCGACGACCACCGGTCCGGCGTCCCGAGGGGGAGGGTGATGGGAGAGATGTGCTCCGCACTAAACGCTTCACTTTCCCCCCTTTGCCTTTTCATGGGTTCTGTCTCATGCGAGGTTCGGACGCTGGTTGTTGAGCGACAGGAGGTTTTAGTCAGTTCGACTCCGACATGCCCCGCCCTTCATCCCCAGGGGAGGGCGGAAGTCCGGCGATTTCCTCCTGACCAAAAAAAAAAAAAAAAAAAAAAAAAAAAAAAAAAAAAAAAAAAAAAAAAAAAAAAAAAAAAAAAAAAAAAAAAAAAAAAAAAAAAAAAAAAAAAAAAAAAAATGTTCATCAGGGACAATGTCGGCTTCTAATGGAAAAAGATTTTTTCAAATCGGTCCAGTAGTTTCGGAGCCTATTCGAAACAAACAAACAAACAAATCTTTCCTCTTTATAATATTAGTATAGATGTATACATTAACAATGTTTGTATCTCGTTGAACTCCTAATATTCTCATAGGTTTTCGGGGATCGCAGACATAATTAAAACTACTTTGACTGTTTTTATACTGTAATTACATATACTGTATTACTTTAGACGTTTTGAATACTTTACAGTTTTTGTGGACACTCAGGCAACTGTAAGCTAATCCCACCCCACATCCCTGAGCCTTTGCCCGCCCACCTGTCCTGGTGAAACTGGAAAGACCTCCGAACTACCAGTAATCCTTCAAACATAAAAGTTTTTGTGGTCTCCCGGACGACTGTGACCGGACAGCTGTAAGCCAATCCCACCCCACCTCGCTGGGCCAGCCTTTGCCCGCCCACCTATCCTGGTGAAACTGGAAAGGCCTCCGAACCACCAATAATCCTTCAAACATGAAAGTTTTTGTGGTCTCCCGGACGACCAAAGTGTTATTTGTCGACAATTATTAAATCGTAAGAGTAGTTTTAATTATAATTTTACTCATATCCCGTATTCGGTTTATGCATATTGTTACGCCGGTAATAGTAACGCCATCTATCGCCGAATAGCCGAGACGAATATCAAAGGATTTAGTAATATCTAGAACGCTCGAGAAGTACAACGCCATCTATTGTCAGATAGCGGAAACACACATCGAAGCTACTCGACTTGCCCAGAATGTTCTCGATAAATCTAGGGATGTCGCATCTACTAAAAAAGTGTTGCAGAGATGGCGCGCAGGCAGGGAAGGGATCACCTGAAGCGAAACGGAAGAAGTGAATTAAGAATTTTAAACTGTTCTGTGAGTGTTCTAAGTCTAATACAGCTTAAAGTTGAACTTTGAACACCAGCGCGTAACAAAATATATAATTGAGATAGGTGATTACAAGACTAAAAGGATATTAACATTGCTGCAAAACGGACATAAGAGGGTTAATGACAAGAAAAAGAAGACCGAAAGCCGGACGGGTGGTAAAGGTACGTTGGTAGATGCTGTCACAGGTATATCTCACACATATACGAAGACACGCCACGTGTCATACTCATTAGCCTTTAAATTGTTTGAAGTATTGCGGGTCACTGAACTGAGAGATTAAAGGACTTTTAAAGGTGATTATCTCGATCCAATTACCGAGGGAAATAGCTCTAAACTTATGTAATAAAAACAAATTAAAAAAAAACGCTTAAGCTTTCTTAGTTTACAGAGTACAGATATTATCAAACCGAGTTGTCATTGTGAAATACAAAATACTAATGTAATAACCAACTATCATTGAAATATTATGAACTTTAACATTAAAAAATGATGAGTAGCATAGTTAAAACGAAATGCTCGGATTTAATTGTGACGTATAAGATTTTTTTGTTATCTAATTAAATTAATAGGAAATTTATTGCAAATTATTAATCGATTTCATAGCCCTCATTGGTCATTGGGTGACTTTGAACCTTTTAATGAGGCCGATGATTAACGACCATATATAATTTTAAGCATACTTACTTATTTAATGTTATTATTATTTATTATATACGTCTTATATAAAAATTTTAGAAGGAGCCTTGAGTGTTTTCTGATGCATCTCAGTGGTGAAACTCAATTCCAAATAGGTGTTAGAGGCACCGAGATTAAGACCCGCCTGTAAAAACTTACGTAAATAATGAAAAAGAAATATTTTTAAGCTATTGCATAGATTTTATCGCAGGCCTTGAGCGCGGCGACCGAATCATGAAATTCCGTAACGAAAAAAACTTAACAACCCTCACTCCGCCTACCATGTAGGTCGCGTTCAGCACATTCACACGTTGCGCTTGTGTAGTGTTTGTGAATAAGCGCGTGGCGTGACGTCACACTGCATGCGCATCATGAAAAGTCTGCCCATCTCTCTCTCGCGCGGTCTAGCCTATGAGTATGGAGGGGACAGTTAAGGTTTTGCTTTTATTAATGTTTAATATAGCGTAGTCTTGTTTTATTGTTTTAATATTAAATTATCATTGTCTAATTATAATTGCATAAGTTGATAAAAAATACTGTGCAATAGATTTACCGCGGCAGTTCCCGAGTGCCACAGGTTTTTTTTTTATTTCGGTTTGAAATGTTTGTAAAAAAATTTAAAACGTTATTCCAAGCGCATTTTCATTTCAAAAACCAAACTTACTCCTATTCCAACCTTATTCCTAAAACCTACATACGTTTTTCTATATTTTTCTGAAGTACGATGTCTTCTAATTACGTTTCTCGTCCCTCGCACGTTTTCCTACTTCGTCCAATACCCGGTCACGTTGAGAATGCCAAAAGAAACTCGTTAAAGGAAAAACTATGTGAAGGTATAGAGACGTTTTAATCAATTTTAATATTAGATTAGGTTTGAACCGTTACTGTTTCAGTTTAGAGGTGATATAAGTACTGGCTTGAAAGTGGCAAATAACACTTGGTGTTGGGTCCAAAAAGAAAGAAAAAAAAAAGTACTGGCAATGCAATGGACAGTAATCTGATGGATTTGTGACTGGAACGAAAACAAAGTTTTAAAAAAAGGGTTTTCGGGAAACACGTTCAGCACGTTATTTTGAAAGCGAAAGTACATGATCTCTTTTTCAAAACACAGATAGCTTGATTGTTTTGTAGTATGTTGTGGTTTGTATAATCTATATGTCGTGGATAACGACTTTTAGTTGACGTGGATAACGACTTTTAGTAATATTAAGACGGTGGTTTTGATTATTATTTTAAATGATGAAATGTTGTTTTGATAAATATCACAAAATGAAGGGTAGACTTCGTAACGCCACAGTATAAAATGGCGGTGCGTGGACAGAGTCGTGGCATTCCGTGTCAGACAGTCATTCCGTCCGTCTCAGTCAGTGAGTCTCTGACAGTCAGTCAGTCAGTCGGTCTGTCGGTATGTGCAACGAAACTGTCGGTTTATCCTGTCATTGTGAAAGTTGTGTGTGTTGAGTTTCAATAATTATTATTCAAAAGGTTTTATTGACTTTTTATAAACTGAGTTCAACCAAATACGAGTGAAGACGGAAACTACCGCTCAGCCATCCCTGGCGCTGCCGCCGACTTATATATTAATACGTGAAGCAAAAACTTTGTATCCCTTTTTAAGAAAATTGCGCGGACGGAGGAGTATGAAATTTTCCACACTTATAGAGAATATAGAGAAGAAGTGCACAATGCTAATATTTTTTTAAAATAATGAATAAAAGATACTTTAAATCAATAAAGAAAACATTACACACAATACATACCATGTATTTGACGCACACACGCATGCATACTATTTATTGTCAAACTTTTGTTCTTGACGCCTGTTGTCAAATTGAGAATAGAATATGGTTTCTCTTTGTTAATATTTTTTATAGTGTAGTCTTGGCGAAATTTGTGATTATAGAAGTATAAAATACAATCATAATAGTGTACAAACTTACAATTCCAATTAATTATAGTCGAGTTTCGACTACTGCGGGACCTCTAGTTTATTTTATTTGATGTGTATTTTTTCTTATCTATGTATCTTTGTATGTATGTATCTATGTATTTGTTTTGGCAATGTAATTTATAACCTAGTATTCATTTTACTCATGTCTAATGTAATTCTTTAAATCATCGCCGTGTATTAACTTCATCACAGCTACACACTTCTTAAACCTTTCAATTCATCAACGAGGGTTAACTGAAAGAGAATGCCTGCATGGCGTTAACTTCGCCTTTCTACAATATTTTGTGCAATAAAGAATTTTCATTCATTCATTCATTCATTCATTCATTCAAAGTTCATACATGCCCTGTGAATGTTTCTCTTAATTGCAATCCTTGAAAACCTAACCGTACTTACGAACTGATTTAGATCCAAAACAATGAAAAAAAAAGGTTTTTAATAATACTTTCTCATTTACTTAAATTAACTTACTAATCAACTGCTCTTGAAATGGCTTCGTTAAGACAAATTAAAATTCTTCTGGCGGGTACCCCTAAATTCTTACTTTCGGTAGCCAACGGCAAATGAAATCCATCTTAATTATCTCCACCCTGTTTGAGTTACCTGCTCTTTAATTAAGTCACTATAATTAGGTACTTCTGTATAAATAAATGAATAGGTTCATTCGTTTGATTAAACCGACGCAAATTTTATTCGAAATTATTTGTGAGTTTCCTTGTTTCACAGAACAAAGATATGTTTTGCTTCATATTTTTTTTTTAAATTAATATTTCATTTTCTATACTAATATTATAAAGAGGAAAGATTTGTTTGTTTGTTTGTATTGAATAGGCTCCGAAACTACTGAACCGATTTGAAAAATTCTTTCACTGTTTGGAAGCTACACTATTGCCGAGTGACATAGGTTATAATTTTTTTTGAAAAAAATTAGGGATCCTTACTAAAACTCGAATAATGTAACCCAAGGTGTAAAAAAATACCTAAAATATTCTTTACATCGCGTGCCCTGCGAAAACTATTGATGATAGAATTATTTTATGTACTACGACTTTATAGAACACATTAGTGTTTACAAAAAGTGTCGCGACAGCATATGTCTAACTATTATAGTTATGCCGCAATAAGTGTTCTTTTATTTAATAAAATAAAACAACATCAAATATCCTTGAAGTTTTGGTTAAAGACCCGAGCGGAGCCGGAGGAGGCCGCTAGTATTTTATAAAAGTGTCTGTTTGCGTTATCATTATACTCGTAGATGACGACAAATATAGCTTATAGCTTGTTTTATTATTATTTTTCATTTTTTTTATTGCCTTTTGATGGCATCGATAATGTAATTTTTAAATAAAAAAAAGGATTTCAAGGCCATTGGTTATTTTTGCGAAACTTTCGTATGGTTAATACAAAAACCTCTATTCTTAAAGGTACATAAACTCTATATACTAAAAATCGTAGACGAACCTTTAGTCGCGTCTTCGGTCTAGAGATAGCCAGGATCAAGATAATCTTATGATCGAGCTTAAATCGACAAGGATAATCCACTATTGGCGTACAATAAACAACTGATGCTAGAACGTAGAGGAAAAATCTGTTATTACAACCGCAGAATCGATTCAACATTTCTCGAATTCTAACACAGCTCGATTGTAGGAGAATAATAAAAAAATAAAAACGTGTGGCACTCGGGGACTGCCGCGGTAAATCTATTGCATATCATTTTTTATCAACTTATGCAATTATAATTGGACAATGATAATTTAATATTAAAACAATAATAAAACAAGACCACACTATATTAAACATTAATAAAAGCAAAACCTTAACTGTCCACTTCACATTCATAAGCTAGACCGCGCGAGAGAGAGATGGGCAGACTTTTCATGATGCGCATGCATTGTGATTTCACGCCACGCACAAACACTACACAAGCGCAACGTGTGAATGTGTTGAACACGAGCTACATGGTAGGCGGAGTGAGGGGTGTAAGGTTTTTTTCGTTACGGAATTTCATGTTCGGTCGCCGCGCTCAAGGCCCGCGATAAAAGCTATGCAATAGCTTAATAATACAATTTTTAAACTTTAATTCTTTAATATTGACGACAGACAGAGGAACACCACTACGACCGTGATAGTGCCAGCATCAGCCTCCAAGTAAGTCCCGTTTTCCTACCTACCCTTTCGTGTCCGCTCATTCTCCGCAGAGTTCATATGCCCCCTTTCAGCTCATCAGCTCACGTTTAAGGTGACGCTCACCTGCGTCACCATTTTTTGGTCCTTCGAGCTTTGAACCCTAAATCCTTTGGATACAATCCATTGCCCTCCATAGACCCACCCAAATTTTGATATACAAACGGCTCAAAAAAAAAAAAAAATGGGATCTGACGAAAGTGGACAGAGAGGTCTAAGAATTAAGTACTGCCTCGACTCGAGTTAAAAGTGTGGAAAATTCTTCAAACGTGAGGTGC